CTTGGTTACTTTCTTTCACACTACCAGGACTGCACCAATACCACCATAACTGTTTTTTCCCCCAGTATAGCCTGTCTCATGCCCATTATGGCCAGATCCTGCAGGACTGGGCATCCACAGCAGAAGAGCTGCACCATGAGTGTTCTTCCATAGATATTATACCCACACTATGACACGGGGCTGTGCCAGTAGTGCCTGAGGTCCCATGCTGGGTTAGATTTAGTTAATATTATGTGCACACTGCTATTGATACTTTGTGCTAGAAATGGGAAGTGGGTACTTGATCACAAGTGAGACAAACACTAAATAAAAAGCATTTAACTCTAGCATAACATGCACAAAGGTGGACAGCAGGACCATCAAGCATTAAAACAGAATGAAGTGCCAATCAACAGGCAAGGCCAGAACATCTTATGAGTACCACTGCCTTCCATTCCCAGCCACAGTTTTGCAATGCTCCACTGCCTCATTTCTCTCCTATTCCACGTCAGCCACTGCACCAATTGTTTGGATTTGGATGGTGTCTTCCATGGGCTTGCAGACATACACAGAATGTGAGGGCACTGCAGCTTCCTCTGAAACACTTCTCCACTACAGTTTCATGAGGTTCAGAATCTGGTCAATTAAAAAGCTACTCTTACCTACACACAACAACTATCCTTTAACACAAATCAAATCCCAGTTTACACTTCACAAAATGTATGTGATAAACATGAAACCAGTAATTTTACCACAGCAGTATTTAATTTCTGAAACTTTCTCAATGAGCTGAAGTTTAAGCATTTGATTGGGAAGGAATGACAATCTGTGAACAGAAGTCCCAAAACACTCACAGTCACAGAAACAGGCTTATTCCTGAAAGCCACAAGCCAAGTCTGGGGTTGCACAGGTACAGAGAGCTGCTACCTTGGGACACAACAGAGGCACAAGGGACCACAAACACAACACCCCAAGGACAGTCCTCCTCTGCTCTTTAAAACCTACCGAACTCAATTCCAAATGCCACTTCAGAGAAGGCAAAATTCACTGAAAAGAAGAACTTACACGCCATGGATCCGCTTGTGGATATTGATTGTGTATTCCCGAGTTACTACTTCGTTGATAGCAGAGCGCCCCTTCTTTTTCTCGCCGCCTTTCTTTGCGGGAGCCATCTCAGCGACGCTAAAAGGCACCGTGCACACATCAAACACAGATCTCGGACCTTCCCCGTCCCCAGCCCATTGCAAACCGCACAGTTCCCACATCAGCAATTTAAACCCAAGCTTCATTAACCCCCGGGGTCGCACCGTCGCAGGCTTCACGCAGCAACTTCCCAACACCACCGATGCTTTACTTTCATCTCCCTGAGAAGAGCAGGAAGCACGTCCGAGACTCTCCGACACCTCGCACTAACATCGGCCTCCTGGCCAGCCCCAAGCCCCCTCCCTCCGCAAGGCGGCCCGGGAGCGCAGCGCAGCCCGTCCAGCAGTGAACACGACGGGGCCAGGCGGGTCCTGCCCGGGGCACCAGCGCGGCCTGTGTCCCTGTCCCGGAGTCCCGCGGGCCTCCCGGGCTGGGAGGGCAGAGAGGCCCCATTCCCGCCGAACGCGGACGCGCCGGGAAATCCCATCCGGTGCCCCCCGTGCCGGGCCGCCTCCCGTGCCGGGCCGGGCCGCACCGGCGCCGCGCCGCGGGGTCTGCGGGGCGGATGGAGGCGGATTCGGCGGGACCGGCCCCGGCCCACACTCACCCTGCCCGGGCCCGGCCGGAAAGGAGCGCGCGCGGCACGCCGGGAAACAGGAGCGCTTCCG